TTTATATATATATATATATATATATATATATATATATATATATATTCATCTGCTAATTAGAGTTCAGTTTTAATTTATATTTATCTTTATCTCGAGTTTTTCTCCCACTTGATGATATAAATTTGACAAATAAAAATGGATATATTGATAATAGAATATAAAACACTATATTAAATTTCATATCTCTTTTTGAATTGTGTCCGTCAATACTCTCGCAATCCAACAGTGATTGGAGGATAAAACCAAACAAAAAAGAAAAAAAAAGGAAAAAGGAGGGGGCAAATGAAATGAGTGAGGCATGGGAGAAGGATAATGATGGCAATGGAATCATGCATGCATGCATGCATGCATGGGTGGGCCATCTGTCATCATGCCGTCTATAAATACACTCCCTCCTTAATCCTCACGAACTCATCCAATAACATAACAAAACAAAAAAACAAACAAGTCTGTCTCCTGTTCTGTGTCTGTTCTCACGCCTCCAAACAATCCCTTTTTTTTTGGTCTCATAACAGTTAAATTATCAACAACAAAAAAGAAAGAAAGATGTCGTCGATGGGAGCAAGCTACGGTCACCTGCAAGTGATGCAGAAGAAGCAGAAGGAGAAGATGAAGAGAATGGAGGAGGAGAAGGAGAGAAACTCCGGCCACCACCGCCCCTCCTCCGACGTCGGAAAGACGACCATTAACAAAGTTTATCCACTCGACAATTCTTCCAATTCTCAGCCTTTCTTCCCCACAAGTTAAGATTGAATCGACGGAATTGGCCCTTTTGATTATTCTCTCTCTCTTCCGTCGTAATGTGTGCGGGCAAGGAAAGGTGTTGGCTTTGTGTGTTTGCGTGATTCATGTCTTGTGTAAGTGTCTCTGTGTGAAGAAGAAAGTGGGTAGTTACTGTTCATATCAGTTCAAGCTTTGTCCCCCCCGTAATATGCTGAACTCTCTGTTACTTTGGTGATCTATGACAAACACTGTAAAAAAAATGTTTTTTTTTTTACCGACGACTAGCTGTAATGTTTACCGTGTGAAGTTCAAAAGAAGATTTAACTCTACATTGCAAGTAACATATGTACGGACTTCCAGCTACTACATTGTACTGAAGTTTGACATGACAAAACAAGTTACGGCGATCAAATCGGGAGCAAAGGCCAACATCCGACAGAAATTATTCCAAGGAGTCATCCGCTCTACATAGAAAAAAAACAAACAAAAGATCCAACGCTAACAAAGTCCATAAACTCAGAAGCAAAACCCAACCCAAAAGAAACTTGCTAAAGACATAATGATCCAAACCAGGACTTAGCATCATAAATCCACACTAGTTGTTAGAACTTTTACCCTGCGCTGCAAGTTTGGCTGCAACTTGATCCTCGGACAAGGGCAGGTAGTAAATCCTGGGTGTTGCCTTTGTCTTCCTGAACAGATCGTCCAGAGTGACTATAGGCGGTTCTTGTTGCTCTGCAACAGGAGCAGGAGGTGGAGGAGGAGGCTGAAGCCGCTCTCTGGCCGGAGTTGGACTGGGCAGAGGTGGCTGAGCTAGGGCTGCAGTTGGTGCCTTGGAGCCTTGGGGCCTAGGAGAAGGCTGAGAAGGAGGAAGAGACTGTGGTGGTGCCGGCTGGGAGAGAGTGGCTGCAGTCTGAGGTGCCTCCACTTTAGCCTTCACTTCTTCTGGGCCCACAAACTCGGCTACCAGAAGACGTCCCCCATTGGGCGGCCATTGGAGGCTGTAAATTGCGTTCCTCGTCGCCATTGCCTCTTCAACCGAAGAGTACTGCATCATAGAGCATAGTTGAAGGCAATAGAAATTGCAACATCAGTTCAAGATTCAATAGGTCTAAAGAATTTATCAAGTGAAAGAACCAAAACCAACCCAATCTAGAAACTCAAACACACAACACAACCGAGTTAGAGAAAAGAACGTCTTACTGATACATAGCAATGGGTCTTAATCTGGTCCATCCAGAAACTGGTAACGTTCCCAGTTTCGCCCAGAAGTTCTTGAACAGCTTTCAGTGTAAATGGACGAAGGAAACGATCGATCCTGAGGGAATTTGTAGGCTCCTTTTGAGGCGGAGGAACTGCAAGAAAGAAAGATGGAACATGGACATATCAGTGCTAATAAAACAACCAATAAAGGACAGAAACATGTGTCTAGGGTGCTGAGATTTACTCACCTACACGTTCCTTGGGTCCGTCCTCACTAGCTGTTGAGTCAGATCTAGAGAAATTGCGTTTCAGGCCACTTGACTTAGGTATCGTAATAGGTGTGCTGTTACGGTTCTGTACTTCTGGAACTTTTATATTCTCAGAGTTCCATCGGCGTTGCCTCTTAACAGCATCATTATTTCCACCAGCTTCTTTATCTGCTTTGAAATAGAAATCAAGATGATTCACCACATGTGGCTCGAAAAGAACATACCTCTTGAAGTTCATCAAGAGAAACAGATGAGGGGATTTATTTATGAGATGCATTTCTCTGACAGAAATTGAAACTTATTCGGGCTTTGCATATGTAAGCCAAATAAATGGCAGTGAATAACATCATGATAAAGGAATATGGAAGATGTAAAGGGTCTGATTCAGGCATCTTTTAGCAGAGTCAGAGACACAACACGCATCGATAGATTAATAGTCAGATCAGCCAGATGGACCGACCCACATAAGTGTAATTACATTACTGTCGCAAGAGACACATCAGAGGCCATTAATAAAAAATAGTGCGCAACAGGGAAACGAAATTACTAATAAAGGTATGAGAAACAAAAACGCTTACCGGTAACAGGAAGCTTTCTTTTCTCGGAAACCGCCCCTGGCTGATTCTTACTTTCAGAGAGATCACCTTTCCCAACACCTGAATCATTCCCCACAACATCAATGGGGGTTTCCACGTTATCGGCAGGCACTTCGCTTTTCTCACTCTTATTCACTTCATCAGAATTATTTGACTCAGTTTGCTTTGTGTCTGCCTCCTCCTCCATAGAGTCATCACCAGAAATTCTATCTAAATTTAACTTTTCTGAATCGGCTGCATCGATATTGTCATTTGCAGCATGGTTGTCATCTTTATCTTCAACAGATGTCTTCTGCTCAAGTGGCTGCTCAACATCCATGGGATGCGATTCGCCACCAACTGATGATGGTTCCACCATCTCTTGTGACTTATTAACATTATGTTCTAATTTGACATCATCAGCAATTACGTTATCCTTCAGTTCAGTTTTTTCATTATTTGACACAGAATCAGTAGAAATGCAATCAGATTTTACCTCAAGCCCTGTAACAGGGCTGACCTCATATACCTCGTTGTTTGGAGCAGATTTGTCATGAAAGCCATCTGTCAGATGGGCCTTTACACCCTCATTCTCTGGCTGAAGCTTAGCGTCCTCATCATCCAACCCAGAACTCAATTCCCTATCCTCTGAATCCACGTAAGGTTTGTGGAGAATACCAGTGGATGTACCTTCAGCAACTACAGAGTCAGCGGCTGTTATCCCTGATTGTACTTCAGCAGTTTCATCCTTCACATATCCTTCTTGGACATCCAGTTGCTTCACATCAACCATAGACTTATCAAGGCCACCTACATTTCTAACATCATCAACCTTCTCATCCCGATCATCAGTTTTTTTCACCGAGTTATCCTTCACTTTAGCTTGCACGGGAGTTGTCTCAAGAGCATCAGTCTCAACAAAAGCTGGTGTTGTCTCAGCTGCGGATGGAGTTGTCTCAGTAGGAAATGCTACTTCTCCAGCTGCAACTGGTGTAACTTCACCAATTTTTGGAGTCATTTCAGCGTCTTGATTGACTTCCTCGACAGCACGGGCAACTCTTTCAGCATCTTCTCTCTCAATACGAAGGGCTTCATCCAGGCGTTTAATCAAATCCACCTTCAAGCCTCCCGTTGTCAATCTGCGTCTTTTCAGCTCTTCTTTCAATTCCGTGACCTTCCACTTATCAATTGGTCGGTTGTCCAAAATGGGATAGGGAGATGACATCTTAGCTTACGATTGGTACTGAAATATTCAAGAGAACATTCAGGAAATAAAAAAAAAAATCCGTCGAAGAGCATGGAATGCTCTAAATCCGCATGACCCAACAAAAACCAATAGCGGATAAAGCAATGCAACAGATCATAGTAACAAAAAATGAGACAAACATTCTAACACTCACCAACCCAAACAGATGAAAAGCGATAAAATTAAAGAGAAGACTTACAGTAGACTTGCCTCAGAACCGGAGAGAATCTAAAGGCCTGCGCTTCCTGGAATGGGTGAAAACCGCTGAAAAAATGCGAAACCCTAATTTCACGGTAAAAGAACAACAACAATCAGAGAGACTGCCGAATGGAAGAAAATAATCAAAACCCACCACGAAAAGTTGATTCTTTGCTAATTTCCCTAATCAAATCAGACGAAAAAATCACTGCATGTAAACTCAGATTCGATATGTATACCTACCCAGGAAAAGAACCTAAACCATAAGAACAAAAGCAGAAGAAATGCTGAAATGACTCGCAAATTCTAACGGAGGTGAACAGTTACAGCGGACAATGGGGATTTTCTGTCCGATAGAAATTTTTTATTTGGGAATTTAGGAGGAGAGGCGATTTCTAGGGTTCTTGTTCGTTGTCGAGTGATCGATAATCGAAATAGAAAAGGAGTTGAGGGATTGGGAGCTAAATACGATTAATATCAGTTAAATACCGAAAATACCCTTGCTTGTCCTACACTGGTAATTGGTACTAGACTACTAGTCTACGAGAGAACCTCGTTACGACGTCGTTTTCACGTAAGACACCTCCCCTCCAAAACGCCGCGTTTTGGAGTTCAGAAAATAAACCCAGCGGAAATGTTCCGGCGTAGTTCCATCGGTTCGTCTACGTTCGACGATTCTCTCTAGATTCCGGTTTCGCGAGGACCAACGCGATAATGCTGCGAAAGTATGTCTCCGAAACCCTAGATTGAAATTTTTCTCGGGTTAATTTCCTTTTTCCGAGTTTGGATTTCAATGGAGGATACTCCTGTCCTGCTTTGCGGTTGTTGCCGATTCTCGTGTTCCGACCAATTTCCTTGTGGGACTTCAATGGGTGTTTTTTTTGTTGATTTCTTTTACTTTTAAGAGTTTTCTGGGTTTTCCCTTCTCAAGTTTATAGCTCTGACTGACTTGACGGCGATCTGAAATCTTACAGAGTTTGGGTTTTGTTTTATTGTGTTGTGGCTGTTTGGTAGGTCGGTCCTGGAGTTGTCATCACGTTGGTCAATTAAGAGATTGCCGAGGAAATTCACATCTCAGGTCAGTTTGGTAGCCTTTTGCTCTAAGTTGAATAATTTGGAAATGGGCATTTTGCTTTTCATAGATAGCCTTGTGCTGATGCCAGTTCATAAGTGATGTATTAGTTCTTGGTTTGATCATGTATAACACGATTGCAGCAGAGGTACTTATCCAGTTCTTCAAAAAACCGATTCGCTTCTGCATCTGGCGGAAATGGCTTCCCAGGACCTGATCCCGTCCGGAAGCCAGATAACTCAAAAGGTAATCCTACAAAGGCGATTCTAGGAAGTGCTGTGGTTGTTGGTGCTTTTCTGGTAGCATATCAGAGTGGGTATTTGGATCAGCATCTTGGGAAAGGGCAACAGAAATCGGATGAGACAATTAAGTCCGATGTTGTTACTGAAAAAATGGAGGCGGCTCATCACTTTACAGCAGCACCCAGTGTGGAAGATTCTGCTCAACGAAGCACGTCCATGGATGATAAGATTGAAACTCAACCTGAAGCTCCATATGTTGAGGCTTCGGGGGGAATGCAGACTGAAGAAGAAGTGCAATCCAAGGCTGATCTAATACCTGAACAAAGTACATTTTCACCTTCTAACCAAGATGAGATGCTGCAAGAAAGTACCGCAGATAAGGACGAGGGGAGCTTGCCAGTTTCTTCAGACAGAAACTTGGTATCTGAATACCCAAGAACAGATTCCCATATGTCGGCAGAAATTAGTTCTGAGGCAAAAAGTGTGAAGCTGGAAGCTGAACCAAAGCCAGTGGACAATGCAATTCTCGATGTGCAATCCAGTTCGATTAATGAAGAAAGCATGCCTCCATCTGCATCAGCTAAGGATCACACCTCTGAAAAGGCCCCCAAGGTAGTATTATATACTCCATCTCTTTTATTGACTTGAAGAAAGCTATGTATATAGTGATTAGCGAAAGGAATTGTTTATTTGTTGACTGGCATAGTGCACCTAAAACGTAGTGCACTGATGATGATTATGCCAATGTGCCTTTGCTGTGGTAATTTTCGTAGAATGTTGACTTGGTGGATTTTTTCCCCATTGCATGGCATGCTTGGATGGTCGGATCTAGACACACCTATATAAAAGAATTTCACTATGTCATCAGAATTAGCAGCACTCCTCTGTTTCGTGTATTTTATAGCAAGTTAATAGAGTTGGGCATTATTTTCAAGATTGAATTTATTCTTCTTGATGGTTTCTATCTGTATGCAATATAAAAAAGTGAACCTAATATTTTAGTTCATCTCCTAGCAGAATGTATTGTCCTAAAGATTTTGGAAAGCTAGTGCTTTCTAGGGATTCAAAGGCTCTTATGAAGCTTCATTTAAAGGACCAAGATCGAGTTAAGCAAAAGCCTGGTTACCAATTAAGATCCCTCACTGCATACTTTATTTGTATCTCTTTTCTTCATTATGGGCTGAAGCTTTAAGAGACCTCTGGAATTTTACAGCCTGTACAAGCTTATCTGCATAGGATCAATATTCTGTTGTAGGATGGAATTGAGCAGGAAGTAGATAGACCAGCTTCTCTCCTTGATGAATACCATTTAAAAGGCAGTGACAGCGGGAGCACGGTGACATTGCCAACCAAAGAGCACCTAACTGAAGAAAATGAGGTTCGAAGCAAGCTTCTTCTGTCTGTTTCTTTCGTCAGTGCTTTGAATTGATTGATAATCTGCATATAAATATTATTGATCTGGCCTGTTTCATGTATTAGGCCCTTGTTAACACAATTGATGGGCTGAAAGATGGTAACATTACGGAGGATGGAAAGTTGATACTTGATTTCTTGGCTGCCATTCACGCAGCTGAGAAAAGGCAAGCAGAATTAGATTCCCAGGTTTTCGCTGAAGAATTGAGGGCCTTGAAGGTTGCTTAAATAAACAAAAACGTCAAATGATGATTTGGTCTCCATAGTGTTCTGCTTTATCTGAGGTTTGGAACTTTATATTTATTTTCTCCTGCTGGTTTGGTCCTTAGGAGCAATACGAAAACGAGTTAAGAGATCTAAGGGCACGTGAACTAATGCGTATAGAGGAGGCAGCAATATTAGATAAGGTACTTTTTACCTCTCTAAGTGGCACCACAAAGAGATAATCTTTACTTGGGTTTGATTAAATCACCTCAAGGACATGCTTCTTTGACATCATCTGTTACTATACTCACTTGTATACTTGGTTTTCTATACAAATGGACAACCTGAATGTTTACGTCTTCTGAATTTTTATGAGATCCATATGTTCCAGTTCTTATGTTCCTGGATTGAAGATATAAACCCTTTATTGAAATGGTATTACCTATTTTCAGGAGCTAAAAAGAGAGAGAACAAAAGCTGCTGCTGCTATCAAGGCAATTCAAGAGAAAATGGAAGATAAGCTTAGGAGAGAAATTGAACAAAAGGTCTGCATATTGCTGGAATCATTATGTTTAACTTAAGATTTCGTAACTCAAAAAAGTGAAAACTGATCATTTAAATTACTGCAGGAAACTGAAGCTCAATTGGCTTTGGAAAAAACTCAGGAATTGGCAAAAGCTGAGTTGGCTTCAGCAATTGCAAGAGAAAAGGCATCCCAAATTGAAAAAATGGCTGAAGCAGATCTTAATGTAAGTACTGTCAGGAAACAGTTTATTTGCTTTCCTACTAACCTGCATATCGGTCTGCAGTATAAATGTTGCTTTCAATATGAAATCATGGAAACGAAGAAGGCGATGGTTGCTTCAATGCACTGATCTGATACATCAATGCTTGCTACTAGGAACATGATCTGAGAAAGCTAAATGACCTTTGAGAATTTTTAATACATTCACCTCAGAACTCGTTTCGTAACGGTGAACAAAATAAAGGAATAACTCTCGAAAGACATGTCAAAGAATTTTAATTGGGGAGTCACACAACTGGTCTAAACTGTCATGGTAGCAGCTGTAAATAAAAACTCAAAATGTTGTTCTCAAGACTTATTATGCTCTTCAGACATGCAAGAACTGAAGAATCTTGTACGCACATTGTTGTTATCCAACTTCAACAACAAACTTCTGTTACAAATCTGTGTGATTTAACCCTGAATGTTTGGTCCTTTGTTTGATTGCATTGTTGTTCATTACTTTATTGTAGATTCAGGCCTTGTGTATGGCATTCTATGCACGCTCTGAAGAGGCTCGTAAAAGTCATTCTGTTCACAAGCTCGCATTGGTAAGAATCTTTGCATCCTGTCTACCTTTCAGATGCATGATGTCACAGTTAGTTTTAACATCGAGAACTCCGCTTCTCTCTCCTACCACTTAAGTTGATGTGTGATAAATTATATTATTGGTTTGCAGGGTGCTTTAGCACTGGATGATGCACTCTCGAAAGGGTTGCCAATCCAAAAAGAAGTCGACGTGCTCCAGACTTATCTCGAAGGAATTCAAAAGGACTCAATCCTAGATTTGGTGTTATCTTCCCTTCCAGAAGAAACGCGATCTGATGGAACAGATACTATCCTGCAACTGAACCAGAAGGTAACTCTATTACTTTACAAGACCCATATCTTTGATTTCCTTGATTATCTGGGAAACTTGTGTTTGATAGTCTCCCAAAGAGTCCCTAACAGCATTTACAATTTCGGTGCATATATATCTTCTCGATTTTGCTCTGTCCCCTTGTTTCATATATATATCTTCTCATTTTTTTTGCTTTGTTTTCCTCTTATTTCAGTTCAATACCTTGAAAGGCACACTCCGACACTTCAGTCTGATTCCACCAGGTGGTGGAGGGATCTTGGCGCATTCTCTGGCACATTTAGCATCCTGGTTGAAGGTATATGCTATAATACGAAACGAACCTTTCGTAGAAACAATGTCATTTTTTCCTCTGAAGTCCGCCACATTAATGCTTCTCCAAACTTTATAGTTCAAGGAGACCGATCTCTCTGGGGAAGGAATCGAAGCTGTGATTAGAAGAGTTGATGAATGCCTGGCCGAGGGAAAACTTGCAGAAGCAGCAACTGTTCTTGAAGAAGGTGTGAGAGGGAGCCAAGCAGAGGAGATAGTAAGCGAATGGGTGAGACGGGCAAGGAACAGAGCAATAACAGAGCAAGCTCTAATGTTGCTCCAATCTTACGCCACATGTTCCAGCCTCACTTGATGTCAGCCTTTGCTGTTTAAGGTACAAATAAATGTCTTTTGAGATGGAATTCCAAAGAGTTACTTGATTGTTGCTTGCTGATGTTACGGCTACCCTTTTTGTCAGAGGAAGAACAACTTCGCCATTCTCGTCCTTCTCCTTAGGCTTAGACCTGACTACACAGTTTCCAGTCCAAATAAATGTCTCTTTATGATGCAATATACTGTGATGAGGTTGACATGAAGGAAGCTTCTCTGATAGAAATGGCATCATGTTTTTTGTTGGGTTTTTTCACCATATTTTAGCAAACTGATGATCTTAGAATATAATCATAGAGAGGATCTGACCGCACATGCGCATAATATATATAGGCTTATTATAATGATAATTATATGTGCATAAAGGATGGATCATCATCAGGGTATGCTTGTCTGTGGAAAACATGCCTCGAGGAAGATAATAGACGGGGCATATGAGGCCATGTGGATGTTAATTAGAGAGAGGGCATCTTCTTCGTCCGTATGTGTCTTGTTCTGTTTTATTACAACTTACAATGCCATGGCATGTCTGCTTCATGTTCTTGCATACACTAACAACCCTTGCTTCCTTTCATCGTATCGATATATATAACATGCGTGTGTATACATATGTAATTGGATAGGCAGTTTAAATGAGCTTTGGCAATCCAATACGTGAAGGAACATCCAATACCATTTACTAATTGACAAAGCCACCCACTGTGGAAACAATTACTTTATTGCGATACTAATTATAACAATAATACCATAATTAGAGATGATTAAGGTAGATGTGACAATAATCCTTGTAACTCTCTGTTATTTTTATCGGATTCGTTGGTCGAACATCAAATCAACACTATCAACCCAAAATTATGCTGCTAATTTTTATTTTTATTTTTTTACAATTTTTCTTTTGCAACTTGATGATGGGATACAGCCGGATTTTGGATAATGTTGTTCTAAATAGGCATTCACTTGAAGTCTTAATCTAATTGTTAGCTTAAATTTGTCATAATCTAAAAAAAGATCCAATATTCTGGCCATTAAAAATAATTTACGTTAAAAGTCAAGTCGTCTAAGCCGAGCCGAGCCGGTGAGGGAGCCGTGAAGTTCTCGCGTCCCTGTCGGTGGTCTTGTTCAGCTCCGATCTGATGGCACACTCTCACCAGCCCACATACTCTCTCTCTCTCTCTCTCTCTCTCTCTCCTTTATACTTGTCGAGTCAAAGCAGAGAAACAACTGCAAATCCCTCTCTCTCTCGTCATGTTCGCTTCTCTTCTAAGAAATAGAGAAATGCAGCAGTGATTGTACTTCTTCTTCTTCTTCTGTCATCTTCGTCGTCTCGCATTCTCCCTGAGGTCAGTTCTCTTTCTTCTTCTCTTGATCTATCTATTCCTTTGTATGCATGTGTTTGTCTCGGATCTGGAAGATACGTGTGCTCTATGACAAGAATTGCGGGATACTCTGGCTTCGGATGCGAGATCCGAGGTCCGAGATTTAGTTCTGGTTTTTTCCTAGATTCCGTCCGATCTAACTTGTGCATTCTTTTTCCCTTCTTGGGCTATGGTCGGAGTGAGTTCAGATCGAGTTCCCATTGATCCGATTTTTTCTATCAGCTTTCAGTTCAGTTCCGTTGAATTTCGGCTCGATTTAGTTTCCGCATTTGATGTATTCTCTGTCTCGGATTATGGAGAGTTTAGATTTCAGTACAAGTCTGTATACTGTGTTCAAATTTTCAATTGCGGTACTTTAGTTTGGTTCTACTCTGGTTTAGTGAAGTGGAGTAATTTATTTAGGTTATGTAATCTCGGGATGTAATTGATAGTGTTCAGCTTCTTCTTATCTTCAGAGTGTGGGTTTCTTTTGCTCTTTTTTTTCTGGTGATCCGGAGTGAATTCTGGGGACCCGGATGCTGCATCTTGTCTGATCTCCCCTTGTATGATGTCGGCCTTGTAACTGTTGTGTTTCTGCAGGGGCTTTGATGTTCTGACGATCTCCTTCAGGGTAGATCTGGATAGAGGCAAGGTGTCTGGGTCTACTTTGTTTTGAGAATCTTGAGCCCTAAGCAAAATATGGCAACTGCACTCGGATGGAGATTTTCTTCTGCCAATGGCAATGGCCTTGCCCAAAACGAGATGGTAATTCTGTCAATTTCTTTTTCTCTCTGGCTTTGCTGTATAGCTGTTAGTCAGAGTGAATGATATGATGAAACATTAATCAGATGAATTTATAAGAAAGCTCCTTTTTTATTTATGATGCAAGCCAGACCATGTAAACTTTTCTTCACTATCTTGCTGCAAAGTCAGATCTGGCTTCTTGTAGTGAAGCAAATCCTTTTCTGGTGCATCAGCAAAATGATCACGTTGATATGTTTCTTGATTCGAATAGGATTTAGAATTTTTTGATTATTTCAGTTGGACTTTTTCCTTCGAGGCTTTTTCTCGTTACATTTTTTTCTTATAAATGGACAATATAAAGGACCTGTTGTAACTGATAGATTGTGTTATATAGCATAATACACTTACAGGATATGGTTACCATAGTCAAAGAGTAATTGTCTCATAGTTTGTTTCACTTATCATTTCTATTCTTTTATTGTTTTTACTTATTCTGTATTTCCTGCTCATGGTTACAGGAGAGGAATGGAGATATTAAAATTCAAGATTCAGAGCCCCCAACTCCACATTCAAGTGCAAGGATGGGTTTGAGGTAACACGAAATTGTATTTAGGCCTTCTTAACTCTGGTTTAACTGCATGCATATTTTGTTTAACAATAGCAGAGTGATTACTATCATATTCTTTCTTTCCTTTTTTTTGTTCTCTCTTTCTCTGAGTGACACAACTTTTTCCTTGATGTTCCTTGTGTATGTTAAACATTAAGATGGCCTAACAGTCTCAAACATCGCAACTTTCAAATTTTCAATTGATTGGTTTCAGTTATTTTTCTTGCACTGAAATTTTGGTTTTTATCGAAATGGTGTTTTTGTCGCATTCTATTCAATTGTTTAACTTGTTCTGATACATAGTTTATAATACTGAATCATGTTGCATTGCCCTCCTTTTCGACCTTCATTCTACTGTTTCACTAATGCTTATCAACCCTCGTTCTGCAAAGTACAGCAAAGTACATAACGGCATCCGAAGATAATGTTTTGCATCTGGATTTTTTCCTCAGATATTCTTTCAATTAAAACGCCCTTTTAGCATTAAAGAACCTCCTCCTAGTAAAGTAGTATCTAACATTGCCCTTTACCTGCAGAGAGCGCACAAGCAGCATGGAGGATCCAGATGGAACATTAGCTAGTGTTGCCCAATGCATTGAGCAGTTGCGGCAAAGTTCATCGTCTGTACAAGAAAGAGAATACTCCCTGAAGCAGTTGCTAGAACTTATAGAGAGACGTGAAAATGCATTCAGTGCTGTCGGATCGCATTCCCAAGCTGTGCCAGTACTTGTTTCACTCCTCCGATCAGGATCATTTGGTGTGAAGATACATGCTGCAACCGTCTTGGGTTCACTTTGCAAGGAGAATGAACTTAGAGTGAAAGTGTTACTTGGGGGATGCATTCCCCCCTTGCTTGGTCTTCTCAAGTCCAATTCAGTCGAGGGGCAGATCGCTGCAGCAAAAACAATCTATGCTGTTTCTGAAGGTGGGGTGAAGGACCATGTTGGATCGAAGATTTTTTCCACAGAAGGAGTTGTACCAGTTCTGTGGGAACAGCTGCGCAGTGGAAGCAAGAAGGGAGACTTGGTTGATGGTTTGTTAACTGGTGCTCTAAAGAACCTTTCTAGCACCACTGAGGGATTTTGGTCTGAGACAGTTGGAGCTGGGGGAGTGGATGTACTTGTGAAGTTGCTTGCAAGTGGGCAGTCAAGTACACTCTCTAATGTCTGCTTCCTTCTTGCTTGCATGATGATGGAGGACGCATCTATTTGTACAAGTGTATTGACTGCAGACATTACAAAACTGCTTCTCAAGCTATTAGGGTCAGGTAATGAAGCCTCGGTGAGAGCAGAAGCTGCTGGTGCTATCAAGTCGCTTTCTGCTCAGTCTAAGGAAGCAAGGAAAGAAATTGCTAATTCTAACGGTATTCCCGCTTTAATAAATGCAACAATAGCTCCTTCTAAAGAATTTATGCAAGGGGAACATGCACAAGCATTACAAGAGAATGCGATGTGCGCCCTTGCCAATATTTCCGGTGGTCTGTCGTATGTGATATCAAGCCTTGGTCAAAGCCTTGAATCTTGTTCCTCGCCTGCTCAAACCGCCGACACTCTTGGAGCATTAGCTTCAGCATTGATGATATATGATGGGAAAGCAGAATCTACGAGAGCATCAGATCCAGTGGCCATTGAGCAGACTCTGATTAAGCAGTTCAAGCCTCGTCTGCCATTTCTTGTACAAGAACGTCTCATAGAAGCTCTTGCAAGTCTGTACGGGAATTCCATTCTCTCAGTTAAACTTTCCAACTCAGATGCAAAACGTTTGCTTGTTGGTCTTATAACAATGGCAACGAATGAGGTTCAGGATGAGCTCATAAAGGCTCTTCTGACGCTGTGTAACCAAGAAGATAGCCTGTGGCAGGCACTCCAGGGCCGCGAGGGGATTCAATTGTTGATATCTCTTCTGGGACTTTCATCAGAACAACAGCAAGAATGTGCGGTTGCACTTCTTTGTCTTTTGTCTAATGAAAATGATGAAAGTAAGTGGGCCGTCACTGCTGCTGGGGGTATACCTCCACTAGTTCAGATTTTGGAGACAGGTTCTGCCAAAGCGAGGGAAGACTCTGCAACAATTCTTAGAAACTTGTGCAACCACAGCGAAGATATCCGTGCTTGTGTTGAAAGTGCCGATGCAGTCCCTGCTCTTCTATGGTTGCTAAAGAATGGAAGCCCAAATGGGAAAGAAATTGCGGCTAAGACTTTGAATCATTTGATTCATAAATCAGATACCGCGACAATCAGTCAGCTAACTGCACTACTGACCAGTGATCTGCCTGAGTCCAAGGTTTATGTTTTGGATGCTTTAAAAAGTATGCTTTCTGTAGTCCCAATCAACGATCTGTTACGTGAAGGCAGTGCTGCAAATGATGCTATTGAGACCATGATCAAGTTGATGAGCTCGATGAAGGAAGAGACTCAAGCTAATTCAGCATCAGCTCTTGCTGCCATTTTCCTAAGCAGAAAGGATTTGCGTGAGAGCCCTCTCGCCCTCAAAACTCTTTCGTCTGCCATGAAACTTTTGAATGTGGAATCTGAGAAGATCTTAGCTGATTCCTCCCGTTGTCTTGCTGCGATTTTCCTTTCGATTAAGGAGAATCGAGAAGTTGCTGCTCTTGCCAGAGAGGCATTGCCAGCGCTGGTGTCTCTGGCTAACTCCTCTGTCCTGGAAGTTGCTGAGCAAGGAACATCCGCATTGGCCAATCTGATATTGGATAGTGAAGTATCAGAGAAAATCGTTGCTGAAGAAATTATATTGCCAGCCACTAGGGTTTTACGTGAAGGTACTGTATCTGGAAAAACCCTTGCAGCTGCAGCTATTGCTCGCTTGCTTAGTCGACACCCGATTGATTCTGCCTTGAGAGAGACTGTGAACCGTGCTGGAACAGTTCTTGCCCTGGTATCACTTATTGAAGCTGCCGATGGAAGATCTGATGCAATATCAGAGGCACTAGATGCGCTCGCTATTTTCTCAAAGTCAGGAGCTAGCGGGAATGTCAAACCAGCTTGGGCAGTTCTAGCTGAATCTCCCAACAGTATAGCCCCTATAGTTTCATCCATTGTTAGCGCTGTCAATCCCTTATTACAGGATAAAGCTATCGAAGTGTTGTCAAGACTTTGTCTGGATCAGCCAGTGGTTTTGGGGAGCATGGTCATCAGTGCCACTGACTGCATACAGTATATAGCTAAAAGGGTTATCAGTACCAAAAACCCAAAAATAAGAATTGGCGGAGCGGCTGTTATTATTTGTGCTACAAAAGTTAATCATCAGAAGGTGGTAGAAGTTCTTAATGAGTCGAATGTGTGTGCTGACCTCGTTCAAGCACTTGTGGGAATAATAAATTCATCTGAGACTTCCGTGCGAGACCAGGAAAAGGGTGACAGAGAAGATATATGTATAGATATTCACCGTAAACAAGGAGGAGAAGAAAAAGAAGAGGAGGAAGAAGTGACCAGAAATGGAGAGGGTCATAAGGGGGCAGCTGTTATTTCAGGTGACAGTCTAGCCATCTGGCTGCTCTCTGTTCTTGCTTGTCATGATAAAAACAGTAGAGCTGTTATAATGGAGTCAGAAGGAATTGAACTACTTACTGACAGAATCAGCAACAGTTATCTCAGATTCTCTCAGGTATTCTACTCTCTTATCCAAGGCGCTTAATTCAGATTCACTGCTTATTAGGAGAGTTAATTACAAACCATTCATATTAAAAAAAATCTAAGCTAGCATTTTAATGTATTTCATACTCATTTTGGGAGACCTAGATTACCACTCTATATTTTGCATAAATGCTGATACTGCAGTACTTTCCAGATTGATTATGGAGAAGACAGCAGCATATGGGTCAGTGCACTACTGCTAGCCATACTTTTCCTAGACCGAGATATCATCCGTGCAAACGCAACAATGAAAGCCATTCCAGTGCTCTCGAATCTGTTGAAGTCAGAAGAATCAGCAAACAGATACTTCTCAGCCCAAGCGGTGGCCAGTCTTGTCTGTAATGGTAGTAGGGGAACTCTCTTGTCTGTTGCCAATTCTGGTGCAGCAGCTGGGCTTATCTCATTGCTTGGCTGCGCTGACGTTGACATAAAAGAACTTCTACAGTTGTCAGAGGAGTTCAGTTTAGAGCGTTACCCCGACCAAGTTGCCCTCGAGAGGCTCTTCCGGGTTGAAGATATTAGAGTCGGGGCTACTTCTCGGAAGGCGATCCCCTTGCTAGTTGATCTACTAAAGCCGATACCAGAGCGTCCGGGTGCTCCACAACTCGCTCTAAATCTTCTAACTCAGCTCTCAAAAGACTGTGCGCAGAACATGATTGTCATGGTCGAATCAGGTGCCCTAGAGGGCCTCACGAAATATCTTTCCCTTGGCCCACAGGACGAGCAGGAGGAAGCTGCAACAGATCTTTTAGGCATCCTATTTAGCAGTGCTGAAATCCGAAGACACGAGTCAGCATTCGGGGCTGTCAGTCAACTCGTCGCGGTTTTACGGCTTGGTGGAAGGGGAGCAAGGTACAGTGCTGCCAAGGCATTGGAGAGCCTGTTTTCTGCAGACCATATAAGGAATGCAGAGTCTGCCCGACAAGCTGTTCAACCATTGGTTGAGATTCTCAATACCGGAATAGAGAGAGAGCAACATGCTGCCATTGCTGCGCTTGTTATGTTGTTGAGTGACAATCCATCACGAGCACTGGCAGTCGCAGATGTGGAGATGAATGCAGTGGATGTTCTCTGTCGGATTCTTTCTTCAAACTATTCAATGGAACTAAAGGGGGATGCAGCAGAGTTGTGTCATGTTCTGTTTGCAAACACAAGGATTAGGTCCACAGTTGCTGCGGCTCGCTGTGTTGAGCCCTTGGTCTCTCTCCTCGTAATCGAATTCAGCCCAGCTCAGCATTCAGTGGTACGAGCACTAGACAAGCTTGTCGATGATGAACAGTTGGCTGAACTAGTTGCAGCCCATGGTGCAGTCGTTCCTCTCGTCGGCCTTCTCTATGGTAGGAACCACGTCCTTCATGAGGCTATATCCAGGGCGTTAGTGAAGCTAGGTAAGGACAGGCCTGCTTGTAAACTGGAAATGGTGAAAGCCGGAGTTATTGATTGCATACTCGATCTTCTCCATGAAGCTCCAGATTTTCTCTGTGCTGCTTTTTCTGAACTGCTACGGATCCTTACGAATAATGCTACTATTGCTAAGGGACCATCTGCTGCCAAAGTGGTCGAGCCACTTTTCTTTTTGTTGACCAGACCGGAGTTTGGCCCTGACGGACAGCACAGTGCATTGCAAGTTCTCGTGAATATCTTAGAACATCCACAATGCCGAGCTGATTACAATCTTTCTCCACACCAAGCAATTGAGCCATTGATCCCATTGCTTGATTCTCCAGCCCCAGCAGTACAGCAACTGGCAGCTGAGCTTTTGTCTCATCTGCTCTTAGAGGAGCATCTGCAGAAGGACCCGTTAACGCAACATGTAATCGGTCCGTTAATCCGTGTTCTTGGATCTGGAATACACATATTGCAGCAGAGAGCTGTGAAAGCTCTTGTTAGCATTGCCTTAATGTGGCCAAATGAAATAGCTAAAGAGGGCGGAGTGAGCGAGCTGTCAAAGGTGATACTTCAAGCCGATCCCTCGATGTCTAACATGTTGTGGGAGTCTGCAGCATCGATTTTGGTGATCATTTTGCAGTTCAGCTCCGAATTTTATCTGGAAGTCCCTGTCGCTGTTCTCGTAAGGCTTCTTCGCTCATCCTCCGAGAACACTGTGATCGGTGCCCTAAATGCGCTTCTAGTGTTGGAAAGCGACGACGGAACAAGTGCAGAAGCAATGGCTGAAAGTGGCGCCATTGAAGCTCTTCTCGATCTTCTAAGGTCTCATCTGTGTGAGGACATGGCTGCAAGACTTCTCGAGGTATTGCTCAACAATGTCAAGATCAGAGCATCGAAAGCCACAAAAACAGCGATTGTGCCCTTGTCACAGTACCTTTTGGATCCGCAGACGCAGGCCCAGCAAGCGCGGTTACTGGCAACATTGGCACTCGGCGATCTTTTCCAGAATGAAACCCTCGCTAGAAGCGCTGACGCGGCTTCTGCTTGCCGTGCACTCGTCAATGTCCTGGAAGAACAACCCACAGAAGAAATGAAAGTAGTAGCCATATGTGCCCTGCAAAACCTCGTTATGTATAGCCGGTCCAACAAAAGGGCAGTCGCCGAGGCAGGCGGTGTGCAAGTTGTGTTGGATCTGATCGGTTCCAGCGACCCCGACACATCGGTCCAGGCCGCAATGTTCGTTAAACTCCTCTTCGCTAATCACACCATTCAAGAATATGCATCTAGCGAGACCGTCAGGGCAATAACTGGTGAGATTTTCTCTTTAGTGGTATATTCCCATTCGTTCGGTTCATGCTGTAATGCTTCTTTTCTAATTTTGCAGCTGCTATCGAGAAGGACTTGTGGGCAACTGGAACAGTGAACGAGGAGTATCTCAAAGCTCTAAACGCTCTGTTCAACAATTTCCCGAGACTAAGAGCCACTGAGCCAGCGACACTAAGTATTCCGCATCTGGTTACATCGCTCAAGACAGGGTCGGAGCCGACTCAAGAAGCTGCATTGGACGCATTGTTTCTTCTAAGGCAAGCATGGACGGCCTGTCCAGCTGAAGTGTCTAGGGCTCAGTCAGTTGCTGCAGCAGATGCCATCCCCTTGTTGCAATACCTTATCCAGTCGGGCCCACCGAGGTTCCAGGAGAAATCGGAGTTCCTCCTCCAATGTTTACCCGGAACTCTGGTGGTTACGATCAAGCGTGGCAACAACATGAAACAATCCGTTGGAAACCCTAGCGTGTTTTGCAAGCTAACACTCGGCAACACTCCTCCTAGACAAACCAAGGTGAAAAATCACCATCTTTCCCTCTCTTTTCTTTCCTTGTTTACTTTGGATATATCTCTAGTTTTTGGACCTGGACCGATCCATTTCATGTAGCGGGCATTCATTTTCGGTGTTGTTTTGAAGGTGGTGTCGACGGGTCCTAATCCAGAATGGGACGAGAGCTTCTCATGGTCATTTGAGAGTCCTCCAAAGGGACAGAAACTTCACATCTCATGCAAGAACAAAAGCAAGATGGGGAAGGTAAAATGGACAAAAAGCTTATATATAGAATTCACATTCTCGATTTTGACATATACCCATTTTGCTGAAATGGTAATTACATATATGTGTGAATATAATCAGAGTTCGTTCGGGAAGGTGACGATCCAAATAGATAGGGTTGTGATGCTGGGAGCGGTGGCAGGTGAATACACTTTGTTGCCTGAGAGCAAAAGCGGCCCCAGGAACCTTGAGATCGAATTCCAGTGGTCTAACAAATAACTTCCCATTTTCTAAATGTGGGAATTCAAAAAAAAAAAAGTATATCATCGGACACTTTTTTTTTTTTTTGCCAATTTTCGAAGTGTGTATTTTTATATTGACTGTATATAGCTGGTCACCATTACATTAATTTCTTTTTTCTTTTGTTTTGTTTTTGTTGTTGTTGTTGTTGTTTGTGCAAGCAACTCTTCAAAGTGTAGTAATTCAATTCATTTGTAACATTTGTCTCTCTTTTTTTATCTTGTAGTTTCGTATGTTAGGAGATGATGATCAAAGCGGGAATCGCCATTGTTGGTCTCCCATCTTCTTCTAATCAAGGAAATTGAACTAATATGATTAAAAAAGGTAAAATAGAAATAAAACGATAGTGATAAACCATGTAGATCATCATTACGATGAAACTAATTATACTACACCATTTTTACCTACCTAAACAAAAATATAAAGTTTATTTTGCTATATGTATTTCAAAACATACTCTTTTGCATTATTTTTTATGTGATCATTGTGATCAACGTAACTTATTTTAGAGTCAAACTGATTATAAAAAATACGGGATCAGTGTAATCATCATTGACTAGTCATATTGGTTACAGAAAACTAGATTAAAAAAGGGTATATTCTGAAATACATATAGTAAAGTAAGATTAGTTTTGATATTATACTAAATAGAATAGACCGCATCTCCTATATTGTAATTGTTGGAAGTTTGGATCAAGCTCATTTTGATGCAGAAGGAAAATGGCGTGGAAATTGCTGAAACAGTTATTGGTTGAACAGTTACATTTGCGGTTTTATTAGATAAAGTTTTATGGTTTGTAACCGTTATTATCTTTGGTCTTTAAAAGGAAATATTGATGGCTGTAACATTTGTTGCAGATTGGTCGTTTTTCTACCTGTAATCATATTCGGACACAACCGAATAGTTATATGAGTGTGTAAGGATGTTTTATATGTGTTGTATGTAGAAGTTTCAGATTATGAATAAAAAGAGAAAAGAATGAGATTTGTGAAACTGATTATTCAAATCTCTTGTTATCCGGATACGAACATAATTCGTCAATTTTATAGCCAAAGATTGTTAGATGTTCCTAAAAAGAAGCACACGATAAACCATCCATGAGTTCACGACCTCTCAGCCAATTCTTCGCGACATACTTCTTCGCCTTCTCTTCGTCGCCGCCGACTACTTTACACAAAGCCTCGACGTAGTGACGTGGAAATTTCCCATGCAATCTCACGTAGAACATCACTTCACGTCCCACGTCCCTGCAGAACCACTTGTCCGAATCAAACCTAATGAAGGGGAGCTCGTACACTGGTTCTGGAGATGGTGACTCGCCCATGGTTCTTCTTATGCAGACCTCGAACGGATCCGTTTTTGGGCGAATGAACGGATTATTCATGAACGGGTCCGTTTTGGCCAAAGAGACGCCACACATGGCCATGGCTGCGAAGATGGCCGCGAAGATGGTCGAGGTTTTCATGGTTCGATCCTCTTGGTTCTTTCAAAGGCGAGAGAGAGAGAGAGAGACGGGAGTTGATCGATCTATTTACGAATTTATTAGGGTTTGAGATTATTCGAAACTGCAGTTCTTGTTAGAGTCAAAACGTATTCGTTGTTTATTACTTCCATTTATTATGTATTTAAGTTTTGTAACAGGGAAATTAAATATGGCTTCTTCATATATACATGTATCATCCTATCTTTCCACGTCAAGGCATATTATAATATTTCGAAATCTTTACATTTGTTAGATGCAAATGTTATAAACAAAATTCCACCGACTAGGACTGAAATTTTAGATCACCATTTCTTTCGGTTGAATATATTTGTTGTACTAAGTGCTATATATTGAATATCTGTGTTAGACATCAGTCGAATATATGTAATATGTATGTATTTTGTACGGTGTAACAAGTTTTTTTGTACATTTTGGGTATGAAACAGTTGATGTTTTTTTTTTGCTTTATATGTTAGTTTCACCAAATAACACGTTATATTCTATGTATGACCAACACATTTATTCTTTATAACATCATACGGATCGTAGATTGGTGGGTTTTTTTTTTTTTTTTTTTTGGTATGTAGGCAATGAAAACGAGGGAGCTTGATAAGACTTTAGTCGGATAGTTGTTAGATTTGAAAATAACTTCACCCTTGCTGCTTCAAATTGGGGAAAGAACTTATGTAGTTGTGGGTTTTTTTTTTTTTTTTTTTTTGGTATATGTAGGCAATGAAAACGAGGGAGCTTGATAAGACTTTAGTCGGATAGTTGTTAGATTTGAAAATAACTTCACCCTTGCTGCTTCAAATTGGGGAAAGAACTTATCATTCAAATTATATGGCTTGCTTCTGATCCCGAGATTAGTTTGAACCTCGATCCAAAATGTTCGGTTATCAAAAAAAACTTTATACTTCTTCGCTAAGCGATTAAAGAGCCTAAAAAATTTGAATTGATAATATTCTAACATAAAGTGTACAATCAGAACATAGTTTAATGAAGTTAATGGCCCGACATTGAACTATAGAGCATTTGAATATATATAATAAATTCAAGAGAAGTGCTGATTGTTAGATAAAATAGGTGATTGAAGCGACTAGGACATGAACCAATTAGATTCCAACAACATTTGATGTAGGGATTGGTCACATATCACATCCTTTGACATGGGTTTGAGTTTGTGAATATATTTGGGACCCATCATTTCTACAGTAGCTAAATGTCATATGGCCCGACAATGGCCACCATCACCATTATCATCATCATCATTATAACCACTACCTCCATCCACCATCATCATCCTCATATAATAAGGAAATAACTTATTCCTCTCGTAATCGATCGCCATCTAAATGATAGAAAATCCGCATATATATAAAATCGTATACTTGAATGATTAGTTTGATAGAAATGTTCGTCATGAAGACAAAATTACGTATACAAACTACAACCTGTACATATGAGATTATTTATATAAATTTGCACTTATTTATGTTTACGCATAGAGGTAAAATAAATAAGAACACCCAATATGGGACATCTGACACAAGAAAGACAAAGCACGTTGGTCCATTTGCAATTTATCGATAAAAAATATTCAGATAGTACCAAATTTAGATTCGGAAATCGGCGGCCGCCGAAGATTCCCTAAATTTCGCCACCATTCACTCTAATAGTACGCATAATATTGTATCATATTCATTTGAACAAAAGGTAAAATAGGATAAAGTTTTCATAATCTTTAGGAACTGCATAAATTAAATGACTGAATCAATTAGCACGTTGTTAAATATTTCGATAGCATTAGCTAACCTGCCATATATAAACCCTAATATTTTCTTATAACACTTCATACACAACTAGAATTACTTTTGGTAAATTATCAACACATATATATATATATATATATATATATATATCATCAAATCTGCTAAAGTTTCTTGATTTAAATGATAACCAACTACTAACCAATACTCACCAACGCGAATTTATGGAAGAATTAAAAACGAATATATATATAACTATATAAGCAAAACATTAATAAAGAACAAAACCTACAGAAGTAGAAAATGTCCGAGTGGTGTTCCGATCCAGAAAAAAAAACAACAACTCATGAACGTATATGTATAGTCATCCCTAAATCAAGAGCTGGAATACAAAGATATCACCTCTCTCATCATGCACGATCAAGTCTTTCACGGTTCCATCCTACGTTTTATAATAATGTTATTTTAATTATCTTCCACAGAGATCTCGACGGGGGTTGGGTTTTTTTCCTATCTTTTTGTTTTGTTTCTCATGTTCTTTGGTCAGTAGAAGAACATAACCAAGATTCGACCATACCTTCGTTCCTCGGAGCTGTCGGATTCTCCATTCCCTCACTATCGCCATTTTCAGCGATCAATCTCAGAGGATTTTCATCATGGTGATCAGAATCACCATAACCTCCATTATCACCGTCTTTGTTCGTCAAAGTCGATGGCGGATCCCTGCTCTGCAATCCGCCAAGACCAAACTCCTCCGTGAAAACATTACGATGATCACTCCTAGGGTTTGTGTTTGTGTCCGGAACTTGTAGGAGAGACTGCAAGTGAATGTTCCGGAAAACATCACCGGAAGAACAGTGATGAAGCTGATTATTGTTGATGGAAGTCCTCAAGACAGCGTCGGAGGAAGAAGAAGACAGGGAAGAGAGCAGAGGAGATGTCGGGACGAGTTTCTGAGCGAAGGGTCGTAACAGGAGGTTGTAAGAAGTCGACGACAAAGACGATGGAGACGGAGACAGGCCGAGGAAGGTGTTGAGCCTCGTGTTGACGACGTCGTTGGAGAACAAAGGAGGAGCTGGGATCCCTGTGAATTCTTGAACCATGGCTCTGAAATTCGAAGTGTCGGTCGTTAGAACTGTCGTCGGTGCTCTTCTTGATGCTCTCGTCCTCTTCTTCGATCTCTTTACCACTCCCATATTGCTGTTGCTGTTGCTATTGTTGATGTTGCTGTGAGGAGGAGGAGGAGGAGGAGGAGGAGGAGGAGGAAGCGATGCCGTGATGGGTTGGGAAGTGGTCGGGTCGGGTCTTGATGATGGGTTTTGTGTCAAGAACGTGTACGACGACGACGATGACGACAAGGGATTGTTGTCGAAGTAGTTAGATAGAAAAGGGTTATTAAAGTGGAGTAACTCCGGCGGCGGCGGAGCATTGGAGAGGTGCTGGTGGTGGTGGTGGTCGAGAAAAGCCGAGATAGACTGATCGGTGCGTGACTCGTACTCCTCGTCTCCGCCGCTCGAGGATTGCATGCTACTGCTATTAGCAGAATCCATTTCTGTGAACCCAATAGAAAAACAAAACCCTATCCACCTTGATCAATACATATATATATATATATGTATATGATTTAGGGTTTTCGATTATTCTTGTCTAAGCGAAAGAGAGAGAGCGAAAGAGTTTCTGGAAGTTCTTTTAAGAATAGAGAATAGAGAATAGGGTTGGGGAAGCCATTGTTAGGGAGATCTCAGACTCCTAGTTAGAGGGATGGGGGTATTATGGTAAATACACCGAAAGGACCCTGCGTGCTCTCTTCCCCTTTTTTAACGAAGGGTTCTAATGGAGAGTGTGAAACGAGGAAAAAATAGGGTTGAGATTTGAGGGGTTAGGGAGGAAGGTGCAAACACAATAAGTAGTTCCACTACCATCATGCACACCATTATATATATACATACATCATACATATATATATATAGAGAGAGAGTAATAATCTTGGTTTAGATCCGGTTAGCGGAAAGTTTTGGATCGGTTTGTTGAACGATATTTTTAAATATATATTATGCTATATATCAAGAATATGTATAAGTGGCGTGATTAAATAAAATTAGAAATGTATTTGTGAGGTGGGCAGGAAAACAAATTAGAGAGGGTGGTGGTTGGGTGGTACGAAATGTAAGAGGACCGCAACCATATATCACTACGATATTGCCTTTAATTATATTATAATAATAATAATAATCACTCCGAGACTTGGCGATACTTCAAAACTACAGATTCATTGTTTATTTTTTTATTTTTGGTAAATAAATAATTACTTTATAAAAACTAGTCAGTTAATTGATAATTTAGCGGCAATGATGCTCGGCGCTCGCAGCCTTTGACTCGGTCTATCACCCCATCAAACATCTTTTGGATTAACATGTTATATATTTGCACCTCCATAATCATACCCTAATCAGTCATATTAAACTTAATTGCTAAATAAAACAAAAACCAATTATAGCTTTTGATGCGGGTTAGGTTAACAATATAAAAAAAATCCAGTTCTGAGCAATAAATAAAGATTTGTCTTTATTTATAAACAACATATTACGAAATTCTGTCCATAAATTTATCCAAATAATGGGTTATTCAATCCAATTCTGTTCACAATAACTTTCAAATTTGCGAGTAGTACAACAATTTGTTGCTGAACGTAGTTACAGAGGAATAGCTTAGTAAATGTAATTATTATGGTATAAAAATTCGAGCATTAGCGCGGTCTTATATATATATTCTCACCCTTAATATATTTATAATCTTTTTTTTTTTATAATCAAACATTATCGATCGTCAATCTTTTGACAGTACATGAAAATAAATTTAACAAAAAAAAACAAGTAATCAATAATGATTTATTGACTAATATAATATTAAAAAATAAGGATCTCGGACGGAGGGAGACGAAAGATCCGTCGGTCAGAAGAAGACACACTTGTGTTCGCTGCAACAAATCGTAACTACAAATGGTGGATTATATATTTAATTAATCCATCTGGATATTAATTGTTTAATTATTAATCAGTACTAATATCGACATAATTAGGGTGGTTAGCTTGGATCCGAAGAATTGATAATCATTATTATATACTTGGAATTGATAATGTCTATGGCCATATGATTAAAGATATTACAATATGGAGAAACACCCCCTAAGACAATATTTTAATATGGATTTAGATATATAGAGAGGTATTACAGCTAGATATTTGATTCAACATTTTTTGCATCCGATAATAAATATTGTATGATATATAGCATAATTCAAGTGAATACTAATTAAAAAAATGCAGCTCTAAGAAAATTCCCTAGTGAAAAATTATAATCACACGATTTTTCAATAACTCAAAAATCCAAACTGATTCTATTTCTCTGATACGTGTCAAGTACACTTCAACCTTTCCAAGTAGCACTCAACTCACCCGGTCTTACTCCCCTTGAGTAAACCTCCCGTACCACAAGAAATTCTATCAGCTACAAACACTATGTGTGCAACGCACACCCCGTGTCACCCTAGACAGCGTCTAGGCCTACAGAGCGGTTTACAG